CTCTGCCTCACGTGTATAAATCATATTTAGTAAATAAGCCTGTGATCAATTAATCTATGACAAAAGAGGTGAGAAAATACAATGAGGAAAAGACAATAATAAATGCATTGGGAAAAACTGATATTCACATGCAAAATAATGAAATTGGACTACTCTCTTACAATGTATAAATACTTTGAGGCACAGAGCAGGTCTCAAAGGTGTGATGAATGATTAAATGGTGGGTGGAGAGGAGAAAGTTACAGAAGGGTGTTCTATGGGTTCTGTCTTCTTCCAAGATAGGCAATTTGTGAGAAGTTTGAGGCTATGGGAGCCAGTTCAGGGCAGGAAGGATGATGCATTCCCTCTATAAGATTTGAGAGATGCCCGGCCAGCATGGCTCAGTGGTTGAGCATCGACCTATAAACCAGTAGGTCATGGTTCCATTCCCAGTCAGGGCACATGCTCAGGTTGTGGGCTTGATTCCCATTGCGGGGTGTGCAGGAGGCAGCCAATCATTGATTCTCTCTCACTATTGATGTTTCCATTACCTTCTCCCTCACTCTTCCTCTCTGAAATCAATAAAAATGTATTTTTTAAAAAGTTGAGTGAGCCTTTTGATAATATTTTTATGATACTTTTACATATATTTCAGAGAGGAACAGGAATCCCAGCTTACCTCTGAACAGATTGAACAAACTTTCAGGAGCCCATCAGCGTTGCCCTCTTCTTCTGAGTCATTCTTTGAGGGGGAGAACAGAGTCCTAGGAAGGTAGTGCTGGGGGAAGAGGAAGAAGCCATTAGAGACTTTGGCTCTGCCTGAAGTAATCACACTCCTAAGCTAAAAATATCCACACTGATGGGGTACTCCTTACCTGTGAAATGGCACTGTCAGATGTTCTACCTGCCTCACAGGCACTGGAGTCAAAATTAGATAAGAAACATAGCAGTGCTTTGCTAAGTGGAAGCCTGAATGAAAGGAATGATTGAACGCTTGGGTAGCAAAAACCTTGGCAAGATAAGGTTTCCACCAGGCAGCAGGTGACATCTGAGCTACTCCTATACCCAGCCCCATGAAGAGAGAATACTGTGGCTGGGCTGTCCAGTAAGACAGCCATGGAGCCACTGTGGCAATGAGCACTTGAAATGTGAGTCTAAGTTGGGATGTATACAGTTCAAATACACACCAGATGTTTAAGAGTTAGTTAAAAAAAATAATAATAAAATACTAGTATCTCATCAATAACTTCTTATATTGGTCACATGTTGAAATGGTAATACTTTTACATATGCCGTATTAAATAAAACACATCGTTGAAGCTAATTACACCAGTTTCTTTTTAATTCTAAATATGGTTATGAGAGGATTTGTAAAGCATAGTGTAGTTCCAATTTTGTTTCTATTGGACAGCGCTGCCTCTGGAGGAAACTCTGTCTGGTACTCCACCGTGTATCTTCTTGACATCTCCAAAGCAACAGATGTCTTATTTCTCCCAACCATCCAGCCTGGCAGTCCTCTGCCCCAGTGCAAAGGTTTCCTCCTGCCTCGGACTAGGAAAAGGCTGACCTGCTCCTACTTCCATCACTGCCTCAGGGACATCAGGGTACTTGCCATGCATGCCCTTGGAGAGTGCAGTCCCCCCCCTACCCCTACTCCTTACCCCCCTGTTCCTCCTGAAGCTTACCTTCAGTGCCCAGCCCAGCCTCACCACCTCACTAGTCTCCTCCAGCAAGCTCTTCTCCAGCAGTCACAGGCACCAAAGCCAGGCTATCACCATGGCAAAGAGGGCAAACCTCAGGCCTTCCTTAAATGGCTCTGGAAGGATCCCAAGCCTGCCATCTGTCCATGTGGCACCTGCGCCCTGAGCCACACCTACCTGCCCCCACCTCCACTCCAGCTTTCCAAGCTCCTCCCCAGCCTGGGTTGCAGAGTCCTGCAGATTCCTGGTCTGGCACCTTTCAGAAGTGGGTGTTAGCCACCATTGCCCATTAAGGACACACAGAGGCACTAGACTCCTCCCAAAGGATCCTGGGAGTTGTAGTCCATGGCCCAGGCACAGGCATGGTCTAGATGGGCATTGCCCCTCCAAGGGTGGTGGCAAGGAGGCAGAAGGGGCGGAGTCAGCTGCAAGAACTTCGAGGACCAAAGACTTTGGTAATGAACTGTGCCCAATCATACAGCTGCAGGCTCCGTTGGCCAAGCTGCCTGCTAACAGACCTGTGTCAAGGCGGGGATGGGAAGATTTTGGGTCCTGGACAGACACGTGGTATTCCTGCGCACTTCAGGGGACACAAAGAAAATTATGAAGGTTAATTCCCACTATAACTCAAGGTGAAGTGCTTCCCGTGGGTCAGGCACTGCGTTAGGCACCGGAGAGCAGGGAACTCAAGCACAGTCCCTGCTGTTCGTAAGTTTAGCAATGACACTGCATTGGATCAGGTTGCAAGGATGTATTCAGGGAGCTACTGAGAATGGTAGCTAATCACTAGTCCAAAGCAAAGGAAAAGAGTGGGGCCCGGCAGGGAACCTTCAACCAGGGCAATGCCCGAGATACCCAGGCCTCAACCTCCACAGTGCCTGATTCAGCTGTGTCTATAGACCAACTGCATGAACCAGACAGAGTCCTGCTGTAAGGAACAATACCACTTAGCTAGGCAAAAGTGAATGGCTAATACTAGTTACACCAACCATCTCCCTTAACACCCCAAACGGGATCCAATCCAAACCAAAATTCTATTCATTCTACTTTAAAATATCTTTCAAGTTCCTTTACTTCTCTCCCACTTCCAATATTACCAACACTAGAGGCCCGACGCATGAAATTCATACAAGAGTAGGCCTTCCTTGCCTGGCTGTCAGCACTGGCTTCCCTCTGGTTCCCGGGACCCGACTTGGCCCGGGAGGTCATCCAGAAGGGTGTTCAGAAGGATGTCTGGTCAAATTAGCATATTATGCTTTTATTATTATAAATAGTTCAAGCCAGTAACCTACAGCAATGGAGTTTACATGCCTTTGGGAATATACAAGGATTAGGTGGGCAAGGCCACGTTTAATTTCTAGGTGTTTCATATCCAGGTGTTTGAGATCTGACAGCTTGTGTGGCTGGGGAGTGGCCTACCCACAGGAAATGTGAATGTGATTGGCAGACCACTAGGACCCCTGCCTGAACAGCAGTCACTCCCTCCCTCCTTCCTGGGACCCAATTGAAAGAACAAAGCCCACAGCCGACTGCCCACAGGGAAAGGCAGGCCCAAGAATTTAGGCTCCAAGTGGAGAAAGCAGTTTCTTCAGACATAGGACTTGCAGCGCACAAAAAGGGAAACGCCCCAGCCAAGGTGGAAACTAGGTCACCCTTTTTGAGGCAGGTCCTTGTCACTAGGGCAAGGAATCGCTTTGGCCCACCCTGCACCCTCAGCGGCAGACATCTGCAGCCCCCAGCCCCCAAGTGAGGTGTGGGCAGCGTCCTGCGCGGTGTGTGAGCGCGCATGTGTGCATGTAGCCTCTACTCCATGGAATAACACCAGTTGCACCTCTAGATAAGGTGCCCCATGCCTAGCCTTGAGGCAGGACCAGTCCTGGGTGGAGAGAGGGAAAGGGAGGGGGAGTGGAAGAGCAGGTGAAGGAGCCCCTGAGGCTCCCCACCTCTGGCCTGAACGCACCTGTGGGGGCGCACCTTGAGCCCATCCAGCATTCTCTGGCGGTCATCCCAGTGTGTGGACCCCACCCCACGCTAGCGCCCCAATGGCGTGTTCCAGGAAGGGCGGGAGACAGGGCTGGAACCCAGGGGCTACCACCTGTGCCCACTCCCCCTTGGAGGCGGGGGGAGTAACAGGTGACGTCAATTGAGGTCCCGGGAGCCCACAGCGGTGGCTACTGCCCCTCCGCGTGACCTGCGAACGCCAATGGCCTGGCGGTCTCCGGGGCAACATGGAGGGTCCATGCTCTGCAGCTACTGCGCCCTCACCCCTAATCCGCACTGCAGAGCGTGGTGGTGAGCAGGCGCCAGAGTGCTGGCCTGCGTGTGGCAGCCCTGAGACAGGAATAGGGAAAGGAAGAGGGAAAGACAGCAAGAGAGCCAGGGAAAAAGGGGCGTCGGACCCCCACCCCCGCTGCGCGTCGCCCTGCGCCCCTCTTTCTATGGCTGATATCAGAAAGGACCCCACCCCAGGAGAAGGTACCAGACTCGGGGAGGGCGCGCATGGACCCTGGAGACCCCGCCGCCGCCCCCCCTCACCCCCCACCAGCTGGGGTGGGATTGTGGCAGCCTGCCAGGGCTGGGAGCGGTGTGGGGAGGAGGCTGAGGCCCCCTTGCGTCTTCGGAGGGTGGGGTCTACCTGGGCTGCAGAGGCGCTGAGGGAGGAGGAGGAGGGGTAGCAGCAAAAGGGCAGAAGGGGGGATTTCAGCATTAACCTGGCTCTTGCCTTGTTCATATTCACAGGCAGGGGAGACCTGGGCTGTCTGCCGTCGCCCTGGGAGTTGGCCCAAATTTCTATGCATGGTACACTGATCATTCCCCCCTAAGTTAGACACTGTAGAGATTGGGGCCATGCCGTTGAGTCTGTTGCAGGACTGGTGCAGGGGGGAACATCTGGAGACCCAGAGGTCTATGCTCATTCTCGGGGTTCCTGAGGACTGTGATGAGGATGAGTTTGAGGAGACTCTTCAGGAGGCTCTCAGGCACCTGGGCAGGTACAGGGTCATCGACAGGATGTTCAGGAGGGAGGAGAATGCCCAAGCATGTCTCCTGGAGCTTGCCCAAGATATAGACTATGCTTTGATCCCCAAGGAAATCCCAGGAAAGGGGGGACCTTAGAGGGTGGTGGTAAACCCTCGGAACTCGGACGGCGAATTTCTCAATAGACTGAACCACTTCTTAGAGGAGGAGAGGTGGACAGTATCAGACATGAACAGAGTTCTTGGATCAGACATCAATTGCCTGGCTCCCAGAGTGGCCATATCCCCTGATTTCTGGATTTGGGCCCAGAACCTGGGGGCAGTAGTACAGCCTCTGCTAGAACAGATGTTATACCGGGAGCTCAGGGTGTTCTCTGGGAACACCGTGTCTGTCCCAGCAGCATTGGCCTTTGAGGCCTGGCTGGAGCACACTATGGAGGTGCTCCAAATGTGTCAGGTGCCTGAGGGGGAGAAGAGGCATAGGCTGATGGAATGCTTGAGGGGGCCTGCCCTCCAGGTGGTCAGCGGGCTCTGCGCCCACAACGCTGCCATCACTGTGAAGGAGTGCCTGGCGGCCTTGCAACAGGTGTTTGGGCCTGTGGAGAGCCTCAAAATTGCCCACGTGAAGTTTTGTAAGGCCTATCAGGAGGTGGGAGAGAAAGTGTCTAGTTTTGTGGTCCGGTTGGAACCCCTGCTCCAAAAAGCCATTGCAAAAAATGCAGTATCCCGGAGGAATGTGAATCAGACGCGCCTGAAACAAGTCTTAAATGGGGCAAACCTTCCTGACAAACTTCGAGACAGGCTTAAGCTGATGAGACAGTGGAGGAAGCCTCCCGGTTTCTTGGCCCTGGTGAAGCTGCTGCGTGAGGAGGAGGAGGAGTGGGAAGCCACCATGGGCCCTCTGAGGGAGTGTCTGGATGAGTTGGAAGCAGGCTTCAGGTCCCCTGCCAGGGCCTGTGGTTTCCGAGTAGTGTCTTTTCCTGGCCCTGGCAACATTGTGCAGGCCGGGCCTTCCCAGAGTTCCCGGTGCAGGAGGGGCAGGGGCCGAAGGGGAGATGTGCCAAGGGATGGCTCTGGAAGTTTAGAAAATTGGAAACACCACACATTCTGCTATAGTTGTGGAGAAAATGGCCACATCGGGGCAGAATGTAGCAACGCTCCCAACCTCTGCTCGGTGAGGCAGATGAGACAGGCTGCCATAGAGTCGAGAAATGGCAACCGGGCTTGGGAGAAGAGCCATCCCAAGTCCAAGGACAGATAGGCTCAGGAAGACAGGGCAGCTCTTCTTCCTGCAGGCAGAGGAGACTACAAAAGAGATCTTGGAAGAAAAGGAAGGGGCATTTCAGCAAATAGCGGAGGACTTGAGTGGGGCAGAGGGGCAGGATAGTGAGGATCAGGCTAAGCCCCCTCATCCTCCAGCAGCTGAAAGGGACCCCACCATGAGGCCAACCTCCACACAGGGCCCTGAAGAGTTACAGCGACACAAGCAAGCGGCCACCTCACCCAGTACATGGGGTGCTCGAGTCGTGAGCAGGGGCCCCACCATGGCAGAGGCTGAAGGAGTTGCAGCTGAGGACTTTGGTATGCATCCCAATATCTAGGTGAGGACTCAGGCATGGGCCCAGTCATTTGGCCTCCCCCAAATGCCCACCCGGTGAACTCAGAGCTAAGAATGCCCACTGGCCCATGGGCCCCACCAAGCCCAGAAGAACCTTCCCCGGGGCCACCCCTGCCAGAAGCAGCCAGCACCAGTGCTGAGGAAGAGCCGTGTGGTGGGAATGGGGTGGTGACCCCCCGGAAGGGAGGCCGCAGAGTCCAGCCCGTCTTCAGGATTATCTACACTGCTCTGGGGAAGTCCCGCGAAAGCACCACCCTGGAGCCCCTGCGCAAGTGAGACCAGGACAGCCTGGCCCAGCCTGCAGGCATTTCCTCCCCCTGCAGCCTGGAAAGGATATGGGGGGCAGGAGGGCAGAGACTGAGAGGAGAGCCCTGGGCGACAGCCTGGGCTCAGCCTGCAGGGGGATGGGGACTTGGGCTGGTACCACAGCTGGTTGGGGTGCGAGGGAAAGGGAGGGGGATTTGTTCTAAAGTAGTAGGAGAAGCGGGGAGCATGAGGAGAGGAGAAGGAGGGGAGAAAGAAAACCAGGAGTGAACAGGAGAGGAGGGTTAGGGGGATGGGGAGGAAAACAGGAGCTGAGCAGGAGAGGAGGAAGAGGAGGAGAACAGGACGTGAGCAGAGGAGGAGGAGGAGGAGGGGAGTTATTGGGAAGGGCAGTTTTTTGTTCTGTTTGTTTATGCAGGGCCACTGGAGGTATGGAGCGAGCAGGCAGGAGAATGGGAACTGGCCTGGCAAACCACCACTCAGCAGCCACCAATGCCAAGGCCAGCCCCAGCCCCACCCCCAAACCCTTCTACCTTGGGCAGCCTGCCTGGGAGCACTCCGAGCAGCCTTCCCAGGTCTAGATGGGGGGCAACATCTGCTACCCGAACAGACCTGAGAAAGGTTAGGGGCCATCTCAAGGTTGCCAGCTGTGGGACTACCATTCTTCATCCCTCGGGGCAGGCTGCTCCCTGTACAGGGAGGCCCCCACCCATTTCTCTGTAAGCCCCATGGTGACTCACATGTCAAGTAATAACCCCTCCCCATACATACAGACATGGTAGTCATGGTTCCTATGCAGAGCACCCAGGTGAGTGTCCTGGCCTCCCGTCCCTGCCCCCCCCCCCCCGGGGCAGCCACCTCTCAGCCCTGGCATATGCTGTGAACTCCACTGCCAGCCAAGGCTCTGCCAGCTCTCGTCCAGTGTCGTGAGCTCAGCCTTTGCTTTCTTGGTGTAGATTTAGGCCAACTGCTGCTTGTGCTTGTGGAGATGTGTGTGTTCTTCTCTGAGCAGTTCCCCACCACCACCCTACCCCGTAGACCCCAAGCCGAGCCCCAAGAGACTCCAGGAAAGATGGCTGAAGGCATGGTCGGCGCTCACAGTTGATCTTGGGACAGAAGACTGGACGAGGACAGAAGGCAGCTGCCCAAGTCTCCACAGAGTCTGTGCTCTGATATATAACCCTGTTGTTCCCTGTGACTCAGTTTCTTAGGCTTGATGGAGTGTCCCCTGATGTGTTTTCCAGTGTTCTGTGTCTGTCCTGTGCAGGCCACAGGTCAGGGCCAGACCCTAGTATATTGTCCAGAGGGGAAAGAGTCCTGCAGTGAGTGGACATCACTTGCACCCACAGTCCTCAAAGGTCAATCATGGGGCCCCCAGGAAGATATATTATGGTGGGAGGGCTGTTATGTGGAGGAAGTTGGGGTACCTAATTAGGGACCTTAGGAGGTGGGCAAGATCTATTGGCTCTAGTGGCAGTTAGAAGCTCCTCTCTGTGTTGTTATTCCCTTTCTTCAATGGATTCAGTAAATGTTTCTCTTCAATAAAGTTCATTGAATGTTTCAGCTGTCTTGCCTCTGCTTTGGACAAGGAAGGGTCTGCTGGGGGTGGAGGGTTAATAGTGGCCTGGTTAACATTGGTTTATGTTCTGGGCAAGGTCCATGAAGACTGTTAAGTGTCCTAATTGCAAAAGGCAGTGGTAAACATCCAGGGAACAATGGCTTATCAATCAGGGCAAAGGAACAGAGCTAGGCAGGCTGGGTGGTACCCATCAATAGGATGCTGATGGGAGTGCACAGTGGCTGCTTGGATCCCTAGGGCACTCAGGGAACTCTTCAAGATAAGGCAGGGCAAGAGACAGCTGGCTGTCCCAGGATTCTCACTGTCTTGGGGATCAGAGTATTCAGACCTGGAGTATCAAAACCAGACCAGCCTGTGTGACAGTGTAAATTTAAGTGTGTGAAAGTCTGTATGAATGAGTTTGTGAATGTGTGTCAGTGAATGTGTGTGAATATGTGAGTATGTAAGGTTGTGCAAATGTGTCAGTGATGAGTATAAATGTGTTAATGAATGTTGAACATGAATATTTGTATGTATTAGTTTGTATGTTCATGTGTGTGTGAGTGATTGTGTGAGTGTGGGTGAATGTATGTTTACGTGTATTAGTGTGTATCAGTGGATATGTGTTAGTGAATGCATGTGAATGTGCATGAATGTGTACATGGATGAATACATCTAGTGTGTGAGTATGTATGTGTTTGTGTGTGCAAGGCAATGTGTGATTGTGTTGTAAGTGTATGTGCATTAGTATGTATAGATGCATATTTGTGTCAATGTGTGTGTGAGTGTGTGAATATGTGAGTGAAAAGTGTGTGAATATATGTGACTGTGTGTCAGTAAATTTGCATAGGAGAGATATTTGGATCAAATAGTGTTCCTATTCTGTATTTTTCAGTTCTAGAATTTCTAGTTGGTTTTTCATTGTAGTTGTCATTTTTCTATTGAGATTCTTTCTCATTAGTACCTTCATTATAGTCATTTTTTCCTTTTAATTCTAGAACACATTTATTTTCAACTAGAGGCCTGGTGCACAAAATTTGTGCATGGATATGGTCCCTAGGCCTGGCCTACAATCAGGGCCGATTGGGGCCTTCCTTCCTCAGGCTTCCAGCTGCAGGCTGGGGCCTTCCTTCATTCCATGCTGCCACCTGGTGGTCAGTGCACATCATAGCAAGTGCTCAAACTCCCAAGGGGACAATTTGCATATTAGCCTTTTATTATATAGGATGGCTGTCTTTAAGGCCTTATGTGCTAATCCCATCATCCTTGCCATTTCTGGACAATGGGCACATTTTCCCCTTGGTTATGAATCATGTTTTTCTCCTTCCCATGTCTTGAAATTTTTGCATAGAGGCTGGATATTTTGACTGTTACGTTGTTAAGTGTCTTGGTTTTGTTGTTTCTTTTGTTTCTCTGTTGAGTTTTGTCCTGGCAGGCAATTAGTTTACTTACAGACTAACATGAGCCTCTCAATACTTGTTTTTAAGTTTTGTTAATGTAGATTTTATAGAGCTATGTGAGCCTTCCTCCTAATGTGTGTTCTTTCTGGATTCTGTGAGGAATATCCAGGGACTTCAATGTGGTATCTACATTCTGGCTGGTAATAATACTGTGTAAGCTCTGGTATTTCTCCAGCTCACAGATTATGGAAGGTGTCCTGTGTCCAACCATGCAGTATCTCAATCTGAGCATGTGGAGTTAGTCTTGGCTTAGCAAGAACTTTGTGAAGTACTCTGGAGCTCTTTATATGTCCAGGTACCTTCTATCCAGTATACCACTTGAAAAATGGAGTAGCATCCAACTTCATAACTTAGCAAGACTGCCACATGCTGCTTGGATTCTCCGTTTCTTTTTCATAGACTGGAAAGTACCTCCATATCAATTGTTGGCCTGATCTTTGGCCCCACATTGTTTGTTTGTCTTCTGTCAGACCTCACAGTACAGTGGTTGGGGTCAAATTGTCAGAAGATATTTGGAGGGAAGGTTTGTATGGGTGGGGCCCAGGGTGATAGTTGGAAGGTTGAGAGGGAACAGGTCCTCATGGAGGTTGGATGGGGCCATGAAGGGCCTGTGGTGCCCTTGCTAAGAACTTTAGACTACTGCCCAGATGTGCAGCAGTCCACCAAAATATCTAGGGAAGTATCACTATCCCAGAGGTTTGAGAAGGAGAAGGATGACCTCTCCTTTCATATCTGTGAAATAGAAAGGTCAGTGCTGGGAATGGACTAGAGGGAATATTTGTGTCACACTGGAAATGACCACAGAAGTCCAGGCAATGAGTCAATCCAGAGATCATGGAATGTTCTCATCTGCTGAGGTTAGAGGAACACCAGAACTGGGAGTCAAGCAGATTCTTGTTAGACAGCATCTCTTTGCAGATCTGGGCCAAACTTCTCCAATGGAAACCAGCATTTTGCCTGGCCATCTTCCAGTCCCTAGAGGCAGCTGTTTTTGTCAGCTAGCTCCCCCTTTACTCTAACTCAAAGCTACAGGCCATGGGGACATTTTATGTCCCAAAAGGGAGAGTCTGAGTTTGCCCTGGAAACCATGTGTCACTGGCAGTCTTCTCTTCTCCAAGATGACCTTGAAAAGACTCCATTCTGCCAGGGAGTGTGTGAGGACCACATACTCAGGCAGGCTTGATTTGGCCCAACTCTGCCCCAGTAAGTCATCCCATTGGAGGCCAGACATCTTGCTTATAGTCATCTGTCACTGTTACAAGCAAACTACTGGATTGCTCAGAACTTCTTTACCTTTAAGAAACTTTGCTTGTGACATCCTTTTCAAGGATCCTGATCACTGCTTCCTAACACACACACTC